GCTCTTGTTACCCAGGCTGGAGTGCAATGGCGCGATCTCGGCTCACCACAACCTCTGCCTCCTGGGTTCAGGCAATTCTCCTGCCTCAGCCTCCTGAGTAGCTGGGATTACAGGCATGCGCCACCATGCCCAGCTAATGTTTTTGTATTTTTAGTAGAGACGGGGTTTCACCATGTTGACCAGGATGGTCTTGATCTCTTGACCTCGTGATCCACCCGCCTCAGCCTCCCAAAGTGCTGGGATTACAGGCTTGAGCCACCGCGCCCGGCCTATTTTTAGTCTTTTGAGGAACTTCCAAACTGTTCTCCATAGTGATTGTATTAACTTACATTCCCACCAATGGTGTATGAGGGTTCCCTTTTCTCCACATCCTCATTAGCATGTGTTATTGCCTGTCTTTGAACATAAGACATTTTAACTGGGGTGAGATGACATCTCGTTATAGTTTTGATTTGCATTTCTCTGATGATTAATGATGTTGAGCACTTTTTATATGTCTGTTTGACTTTTTTTTTAAGACAGGGTCTTGCTCTGTCGCCTAGGCAGTGCAGTGGCACAATCTTGGCTCACTGCAACCTCCGCTGCCTGGGTTCAAGCAATTCTCTTGACTCAGACTCCAGAGTAGGTGGGGTAACAGGAGCCCACCACCAAACCTGGCTAATTTTTATTTATTTATTTGTTTGTTTGTTTATTTTTAGCAGAGACAGGGTTTCACTATGTTGGCCAGGCTGGTCTCAAAATTCAGACCTCAAGTGATCCACCCACCTCAGGCTCCCAAAGTGCTGGGATTCTAGTCATGAGCCATGGCATCCAGCTCTGTTTGCCATTTGTATGTTTTTTTCTTCTTTTTTTCAGTGTAGAATGTTTATCTTCTTTTGAGAAATGTCTATTCAGATCTTTTGCCCATTTTTAAATCAGATTATTCATTTTTTTCCTATAGAGTTGTTTGAGCTCCTTATATAGTCTGGTTATTAATCCCTTGTCAGATGGGTTGTTTGCAAATATTTTCTCTCATTCTGTGGGTCTCTTCATTTTGTTGTTTCCTCTGCTGTGCAAAAGCTTTTGAACTGATGTGGTCTACCAAGCGAAATTTAGAACATTTCTGTCCATTTAGCAACATTTCACCCCAAGAAGAAACCCCACTCCTCTGAGTCATTACTTCCCAATTCTCCTCTCTCCTCCTCACCCTTGGTAGCCACTTGTCTGCTTTATCTCTATATTTATTTCTTCTGCACATTTCATGTAAAATGCGATATTTGTGATACATGTGGTCTAATTTCACTACACATAACATTTTCAAGTTTCATACACATTGCAGCATGTATCAATACTTGATCGGTTTTATGTGTTAATTTGACTGGGCCACAAGTAAACAAATACTTGGTCTAACATTACTGAGTATTTCTGGGAGGGTGTTTTCGATGAGATTAAGAGTTAACCTTTTTTTTTTTTTTCCCATTAACTGTTAGGCTTCAAAGTCCAGGCCTGGCCATTTTAGCCTTGGTGACCCGCATGTACACCTCTGGATGGGTCTCCAGGAACCAGAAAGTCTGAAGCAACCACAAGCAACCAGGTGGCCATAGAAAGAAGTAAAGCAACTTGTTCCTACCTCAACTAATTGCTGCAACCTGCATCCATTATTCCTGTTCAGCCTTGCAAAAATTCCCCCCGGACACTGGGTTTCTCAAGACCCCCACCCCTGTAACTATGTAATCACTGCACCCTCCCCTCTGACTGTAACTGATACCCCCCACCCTTACGATCATGCCTGTTCATAATAAATGACTCCTACCTTGTGATCATGCATCTCGTGACACCCTTCCCCTCCCCAAGATAGATTACCAACCCCTGCCCTTATAGTCATGCATCCCATGATGTCCTCCCCCTCCCCAAGACAGACTACCACCTTTAGCTGACCATTTGCCCCAACTATATAACCAATCCCCTCTCCTACCCCTTTTGCCTAACCCCTTTCTCGGACTTGGCCTCCTTGCACCCAAGCGCAAAATAAACAGTTGCCCACGCAAAGCCTGTCTGGTGGTCTCTTTACGTGAGTGACACATGTGACATTAACCATCTCCCCTTCCCCACCCCTACTTGCCACTACCCTTCCCAGCCTTCAGTAATCATCTTTCTACTATCTCCATAAATTCCACTGTATTAATTTTTAGCTCCCACAGAGAAGTGAGGACATGCAGTTTATCTTTCTGTGGTAAGCCGAGTAACGCAGACTGCCCTCCCTAATGTGAATGGGCCTCTTCCAATCAGTTGAGGATCTGAATAGAACAAAAGGCTGATGCTCACCCAAGTAAGAGAACATTCCCTGCAGGATGACCTTCAAACTGGAACACAGGCTCTTCTCGGTTCTATAGTGGCCTGCTGGCGTTTGGATTCAAATAATGTTCTGTTGGAGAGTCCATACTCTGTTTTCTCTCTCTCTTTTTTTTTTAAGACAGAATCTCATTCTAGTGTGCAGTGGTGTGATCTTGCTGCAATCTCTACCTCCCGAGTTCAAGCAATCCTCCTGCCTCAGCCTCCTGAGTAGCTGGGATTACAGGTGCCCGCCACCAAGCCCAGCTAATTTTTGTAATTTTAGTAAAGACCTGGTTTTGCCATGTTGGCCAGGCTGGTCTTGAACTCCTGACCTCAAGTGATCCACCCACCTCGGACTCCTAAAGTGCTGGGATTACTGTAAGCCACCACGCCCAGCCCTCCATGTTCTGTTTATCCACTCATCAGTTGATGGACATTTGAACTACATCCACTTTTTGGCTCTTATGAAAAGTGCTGCTATAAACATTCATGTACAAGTCTTTGTATGTACACTTTTTTTTTTTTTTGAGACAGAGTCTCACTCTGTTGCCAGGTTGGAGTGCAATGGTGCCATCTCAGTTCACTGCAACTTCCACCTCCGGGGTAGAAGTGATTCTCCTGCTTCAGCCTCCTGAGTACCTGGGATCACAGGTGCCTGCCACCATGCTCGGCTAATTTTTTATATTTTTAGTGGAGCTGGGGTTTCACCATATTGGCCAGGGTGGTCTTGAACTCCTGACCTGAAGTGATACACCCACTTTGGCCTCCCAAGGTGCTGGGATTACAGGTGTGAGCCACTGCACCTGGCCATGTTTTTGCTTTTCTTGGGTATATACATAGAAGTGGAATTGCTGGGTTATAAGGTAGTTCCATGCTGAGAAACTGCCAGGCTGTTTTCCACAGTGGCCACACGATTTCACATTCCCAACAGCAGTATATGATGCTTCCGATGTCTCCACATCCTCACTAACACTTATGTTCTCCCTTTTCTTTGTTTTTCTTAATAGCCATGCTAATGGGTGTGACATAGTATCTCATTGTGGTTTTGATTCACATTCCTCCAATGATTAATGATGTTGAACACTTTTTCATGCATTTATTAGCCCTTTGCTTATCTTCTTTAAAGAAATGTCTCCGGGTGTGGTGGCTCACACCTGTAATCCCAACACTTTGGGAGGCTGAAGCAGGCGGATCACCTGAGGTCAGGAGTTCAAGACCAGTCTGACCAACATGGAGAAACCCCACCTCTACTAAAAATAGAAAATTCACTAGGCATGGTGGTACATGCTTGTAATCCCCGCTACTAGGGAGGCTGAGGCAGGAGAATCGCTTGAACTCAGGAGGTGGAGGTTGTGGTGAGCTGAGATTGCACCATTGCACTCCAGCCTGGGCAATAAGAGTGAAAAGGAAGGAAAGGAAGGAAGGAAGGAATGAAGGAAAGAAGGAAGGATCTATTCAGGCTGGGCATGGTGGCAGGCACCTGTAATCCCAGTTACTCAGGAGGCTGAGGCAGGAGAATTGCTTAAACCCAGGAGATGGAGGTTGCAGTGAACAGAGACCATGCCACTGCGCTCCAGCCTGGGCAACAGAGCAAGACTCCATCTCAAAAATAAATAAATAAAATTAAAAAAAAATAAAGACGTGTCTATTTAGATCCTTTGCTCATTTTAAAATTAGGTTATTTTTGGCCAGGCTCGGTGGCTCATGCCTATAATCCTAGCACTTTGGGGGACCGAGGTGGGTGGATCATGAGGTCAAGAGATCAGACCATCCTGGCCAACATGGTGAAACCCTGTCTCTACTAAAAATACAAAAATTAGCTGCATGTGGTGGTGGCGGGCACCTGTAGTCCCAGCTTGACAAGTAGGGATTATGAGGATTACAATTTAAGATGAGACTTGGGTGGGGACACAAGGCACCTAACCATATCAGCCCCAAAGCCATGACGGGAGAAGGCTCCTGCCAGAAGTCCACCCCACAGCCCCAGACTCCACCATGGCCTTTCCTCATTCTGCTTTCTTCCTCCACTTTTCTTTCCCTGAATGAGGTTGCTCTATCAGTGCCTCCCATGACTACCATGCTCCCCTCCCCCATCCTCCATGCTCAGGGATAAGGAAGCTAGTGCCTGCAAGCTTCTTTGAACTGACTGCACCATGCACTCACCATAGTCAAGCCACGGTGACCCACACGTACACCTCCAGATGGCCTCCTGGAACCAGAAAGTCTATAACAGAAAAACCGCAAAAGGAGAATAGCTAGCTCCTGCAGTGCCTGATCAACCGAATTTACAACATTCTACCACTGTTCCTGCCTCAACTGATAGGTCAACCTTGTGACACCGTATTCTGTGACACCATCCCCCTCGCTCGCTTGCAAAAAACTGCCCTCAACTCTAACTTTCCATTACCTACCCCCAACCTATAAAACCAGCTCCTATCCCACCACCCTCTGCTGACTCTCTTCGGACTCAGCGCACTCGCACCCGCGTGAATGAACAGCCTTGTTGCTCACGCAAAGCCTGTTTAGGTGGTCTCTTCATTCAGAGCGTCCTTACCAGTGCCCTGAATCCCTTCCCCACCCAAGACTCCTTCCTTTTCTTTCCACTTAGTCTACCTGAAACTCCTCTATTTTTAAAAAAAAAAAATTGAGTTACCCACCTCAGCTTTGTTTCTCAAAGGCTTTAATCCAGGAGGAGCTGAAATTGCTTCTTGGCAAGAGGGGTTTCAGGTTTGCATTGCTCTAAAAGAGACGCTCTCAGAAACAAGGGACCTCCATTTTGGTGTCAGCACTGCACGCACCCCCACCCAAGCCAACACTATGGCTGGAAAGCTTATATAGAGGGTAAGGGATTTGGGTGGAGTGGGAATTGACGTGGAGGAATGTTGGAGATCAGATCAATGGATGCTACAAAAAAAACTCAACCCCTCCCCACCGAAAGAGGGCAGTACTCAGGCTAGGAGCCGCTGTACTAGGTGCTAGGGACCCACTGAATTCTCACCAAGGCAAGGCTTAGTCAAGTCTGCATTTCCAGAAATATCGCCCTGGCAAGGGCAGGGACTACTCAGTCAAGGGCGACTCATTACTCTACCCTAAGGTCTCCCTAAAGAGGGGTGGCACGGGGAGGTGGCGAACCCAGCCCTGCTTTCGGCAGCACATCGCCGCTTGCGATGGACTCGCAGTGGCTGAAAACCGCTGCTTCAAAACGGAGGCTGAAGGGGTGGTAAAGACTAACGAGGAGTTTCAGAAATTGACTCAACAGAGTCTGGGCGCCTGGGAAGGGCCTCGGAGGAACCGCCAGGTTGGGGAACGATTTCAAATGCGTACTCGACAACACGGAGTGAAGATTGGGAGTTCTTAGCCCCCGTTCCGCCTCCAGGGCTCCCTGGGGCACACGGCAGCCCCACGACGCGTTTGGGTTTCTTCGAGAGAGCCTCGCACGCACCACCGCCCACGCAGCGGCAGCGCCTGGCACCCTCGTGCAGCTCAGCGCCGGGGGAGTCCCTTCCCCAGGCACGCCCCCGCGCCGGCCTTTTCTGCGCTTCCCAAGCCCGAGCCAATCAGCGCTCGGCAGCGACCGGCAGGGATGACCAATCGATTTATCCTGCGTTGTACTCAAGACTTAGAAGTCGAGCATCTTACATTCGATCGACGGAACATCCGGGCCCCAGCGCGAAGTTGGGTGACTGTTAGGTGGTTGTCTCGAGGGTTGCAGGAAGATCCCGTTTCCTTGGCGTGGAAGGAGAGGTTAACCCCGAAGAGTTAAGATTCTAGAAGCACACGGCAGGGTGCGGTGGCTCACGCCTGTAATTCCAGCACTTTGGGAGGCCAAGGCGGGAGGATTGTCTGAGATCAGAAGTTCGAGACCAGCCTGGTCAACATGGTATAACCCTGTCTCTACTGGAAAAAAAAATAGCTGGGCGCGGTGGCGGGTGCCTGTAATCCCAGCTACTCTGGAGGCTGAGGCTGGAGAATCGCTTGAACCCGGTAGGAGGAGGTTGCAGTGAGTCCAGATTGCGCCACTGCACTCCAGCCTGGGCAACAAGAGTGAAACTATGTCTCAAAAAATAAATAAATAAATAAATATTCTAGAAGCACACTGTTTATCCCTCCTCCTTCACGGGGTAGCTTGGGACAAGTTATCTCTTTTCTCTGGGTCTGTGTTCTGCCTATAAAAGAATGAATGGGACAAAACAGTCTCTACAGTCTCTTGTTTATTCTGGCCCTGCAAATCCAGGATCAGTGCCATTATATCTTAGTCTGATGTCGCTGGTCTTGCCCTGCCTGGTGTTCTGAGCTTTGTCGGCGGTAACATGCACTCCAGCCACGATCTTCAGTCCAGGACACCATCACTGGGGAAACGGAGGCATAAGAAAAAGAAAAATAGGGATTGTTTATCCACAAATACATATGGTGCACTGCATATCTGGCACTGCGCTGGTGCTGGGTCCCCTATGAGAAACAGGCATGGTCCTTGCCCCCCCAGTTATGAGCTATGTCACTTCCACCAGACTCTCAGGTTGCCAGTGGGGAGCTGTACTCTCATCAAGCTGCTCTCACCAGCAAACAGGATGGAGACAGACTTGTAGGCCTGCATGTTCCTGGGCTACTCTTGAACTCCCAGCTCAGCCACTGGCTATCTTCTACTCACAGATCTGAAAGGAGTCAGTCCAGACAGGCTCCAGCAGTACCTCTTTTCTTGAGGAAGCCACCTTCTCCTGGCTGTCCAACCCTGAGAGGACCTTGGAAGTTTGGGGGAGTTCCTCTGGGCACTCTGGTTCATCCAGAATGCACCCAACCACCCTCTACGCATGCACCCCACCCCCCTCCAGCCTGATACCCTGCTGGGGTTCTTTTGCAGTTTTGTCTTGAGGTCATCAGAGAGGTCATGCTCCATGAGGCTTTGAAGCACCACCAAGAAAAACCCCTGCAAGACCAGGAACATATCTGAGAGGCATCTGAAGTCAGATAGGCTGTGTTGGAATCCTAGCTTTTTCTGACAGTGTGGTCTAGGTAATTTAACTTCTACCAGCCCCATGTGTGTAATGAACATCATCACGGCACATACCTCACAGATTGCTGAAAGGATTAAATGAAATGATGCATATAAATTACTTGCAGCATGCCTATCAGAGACATACAGTAAATGGGCAAGAATTGGGAGCTACTGTTATTATTCTGTTATTGTGATCATATTTAGCAGGAAAGAGGCCTCCCAGGCTAGGCTCCAGTCCTTGATGAGAAGGTGCCCACTATATGTCCTCTCCTGTTTCTCACCCTCTGCTTCTGCCTCCTGTGGTCCCAGCTGAGCAGCTGCACCTCAGCAATGTCCAGTTACCTGCCTCAGAACAGGAAGCCCAGACATACAAGCTGAGGGAGGATGCCACACTCGAGGCCAAGCGAAGAGCACATTTGGACAGCCTGTGCTTCAGAGCTCTGGTCACATCCCCAAGGAGCACAGCAGGCCCTGCCAGATAAACAGACAAAATCAAGAGGGCTCCAAGGTGAGACAGAGAAGGAAGATTGTTAAAAATTGAATCTGCTAGGCCAGGCATGGTGGATCACACCTGTAATCCCAGCACTTTGGGAGGTTGAGGCAGGTGGATCACTTGAAGCCAAGAGTTCGAGACCAGCCTGGCCAACATGGTAAAACCCCGTCTCTACTAAAAATACAAAAAATTAGCCGGGCATGGTGGCACAAGCTGTAGTCCCAGCTACTCAGGAAGCTTAGGCAGCAGAATCACTTGAACCCGGGAGGTGGAGGTTGCAGTGAGCCAAGATCACACCACTGCACTCTAACCTGGGTGACAGAGCAAGACTCTGTATTTTAAAAAATGAGGCTGGGTGCGGTGGCTCACACCTGTAATCCTAGCACTTTGAGAGGCCGAGATGGGTGGATCACAAGGTCAGGATATCGAGACAATCCTGGCTAACACAATGAAACCCAATCTCTACTAAAAATACAAAACATTAGTCAGGACTGGTGGCACATGCCTGTAGTCCCAGCTACTCAGGAGGCTGAGGGAGGAGAATCGCTTGAACCTGGGAAGCGGAGGTTACAGTGAGCCAAGATCATGCCATTGCACTCCAGCCTGGGTGACAGAGTGAGACTCCGTCTCAAAAGAAAAGAAAAGAAAAGAAAAAATTGAGTCTGCTGTGCCCAACCAAACCATCAGCTGTGGAGTCCTGCCCTGAATCATTTACTGCTTACCCTATCTCTGGGACCATCAGGGCAGGTAGGTGGCAGCAGTTGTTTTCCAAGCCCTGCTGCTCCCAGGCCAGTGTGACATCTGCAATGATCATTTTAACAGGCTGGACACCCTCATGTCACCCTAGCATTTATCCTTGGCCTACTTGCCACTTATGCCCTACCCAGTGGGGGAGTGGCAAGGCCTTGGCTCTGGGCTCCACAGGTAGAGTTTTGCAGGGGAGTCCAGTGAACTCACTCTTTACAAAACCTACCCAGGCCTTCTTTCAGCCACCCTCCTGCTAGGATTATATGTAATGTATTTTATATATGTATACCTATATACACACACATATATATATAATATTGTATATAATTTTTTATAGAGACGGGATCTTTCTCTGTCACCCAGGCTGGAGTGCAGTGGCATGATCATAGCTCACTGCAGCCTCAAACTCCTGGGCTCAAGTGATTCTCCTGCCTCAGCTTCTCAAGTAGCTGGGATTACAGGCAGGAACCACCAGACCTGGCCTTTTTTTTTTTTTTTTTTTTTTTTTGGAGAGATAAGGTCTCACCATCTTGCTCAGGCTGGTCTGGAACTCCTGGGCTCAAGCCATCCTCCTGCCTTGGCCTCTCAAAATGCTGAGATTGCAGGCATGAGTCACGGTGCGTGGCCAAGAGACTATATTTTGAGCAGCTGCTGGCAGTGGGGACTAAGTTCTGGTCTGAGGAGGGCTTCCTGGGAGTTCAGGAGAGAAATGCCTGTCACTGTTGGTGCACAGTGAGTACAGCCCTCTCTGGTTACCCAGAGGACAAGGTGTGGCTCCCTCCAGTGTAGGTCCCTGGCCCCAAAAAGCTGGACCTGGGCTCTCCCCAGTCACCAGAGATCCCTCTCCTTCCTCCCCAACAAGGTGTTTGGCTGGCTGAGGTCAAGGCAGCAGCTATGCAGACCCTGACTTGTGGACGTTCCTAAGCACCAGGGGCTCACCTTGTGTCCCGCCAGTCTCCTTCAGAAGGCTGCGGTGGGTAGGCCAGATCAGAAATTCAGGAAGCTGAAACAGCCAAACAGCCAAAAGGTGGAACCCAGCCGGCTCCCGGGGACTGCCTGTGAAATGGACGGGCTCTGAATAAGTGGAACAGTGGTGATGAGCCTTGAACGCCAGCTCAAGGGATGGGGCGTTGTTTATAAACAAGTCGCTAACCAGGAGCCCCACCCACATTCCGAGTGGATCAGGTGGTCCCGCCTGGCCAAGGTCCCTGCGCCAGGTGCGCTCGCTCTCCCAGGTCGGTAATTGCCGCCACCATCCCTACGAGTCTCCAGCCCCAGTCTACGTCCGTTCAGTCCGAGGCCGCTCTTGGACTGGGACTGAGGCGCCCACGACTGATGCCGGAGGCACAGCGAACAGCGCGGCTGCAGGGAAGCCCTCTGTCCTGCAGGTGACGGGCTCCCGGGAGGCAGCAGGTGCCGAGGACGAGCAGCAGATCTGGGGTGCAGAAACCTGTATTCGAGTCCCGGCTTCAGAGCCCCTGGGCTGTGTGATGTAGAGGGGTCGGTTGCCCTCTGAGCGCCTTCGTGGATGACAGCTGATGCTCGGGCCCACCTTCCTCGGCTGCTGAAAGGCTCTGAAAGAACCGCGTGTAAAACGCCCTGGAATCTTAATTCCACTTAATTACTACGGGCTTCCTAGAAACAGTCCATGGTCCTGCTTCCTGTAAACGCTTCACGGTGTCGTCGCTGTCATAGCGTTGCGCAGAGGGACTGCTCTGCCTCGCTGCCCTAGAACAGTCCCTCTGTACCCCATTGCCCCTCGGGATGTCGTTATGTTGCTTTTTTTTTTTTTTTTGAAGCAACCCAGAAGTCATATGTTGTCTTTTAACCTGGGGCGGGAGGTTGCAGTTGAGGCTGCAAGTCTGGGCCGGCTGTGACCTGAGGGTCGGCTGCAACTAGCAGCCGCGACGGTGTCTACACTGGAATTCCAAGGAGGCTCCAGGCGCGTGACCAAGGTTCAGTCTCCTGACCCGGGCCGCGCGCTGCTGGATGAATCGCCAGCCTTCCCCCGCAGCTCCCTCCACCTCATCTCTGACCCAAAGCTCTGCGTGAACCCCTGAGCGCAGGCCGAGGCTTCGCACAGCCTGTGGGCTGTGAGGTCCTGGACCCGAAGCTCGGCCCCGCTGGGACTGTCCCTCTGCCTCTATTCCGGGGTAAAGACCGCGGAAGTAGTCTGGGGAGCCGGGCAGCGACCTCGGCTGCAGGTTTCCGCTGCTGCCTCCAGGGTGCTGTCCACCCCGTGGTGCTGAAGCGCCCTACGCCCCTCCGCCATCTACGGGAAGCCGAGAGTCCGCGCTGCAGCCTCCACTCAGGATTCGACCCGAACTCCAGGACGCGTCCACACTGGTCCAACAGCGCTCATGGATGGATCGTCGCCTGCCTCAACTGTTCAGACCACCGAGGATTTCACCCGGAAGCACCGGGGAGGTCGGAGCTTGCCTGAGAAGCCTCGGCGAAGGTCCATGCCTTTGTCCAGACCCAATCAGCGCGGCAGAGGTGGGCGAAGCTCCAACCCCATGCTCTCTCCCGGCACTGGCAGGAATTCACATATTATGGACATAGTCCTTACTCACTCCAAACCTGTCCTATGAATTGTATGGGCCCCAGGAAAGTTTCCCTGGGCTTTTAGAATCTCAACCCCCTTGTGGCCATCCGAGCTGTGTCAACACTGCTACCTGCGAAGCAGGAGAGAAAAATCCCTGGAATTTCTCCCGCACATCTCTCACAACGTGAATATGCCCTTCTTTGACACTGGGTACAGCAACTTCGGGACCAGATTTTTGCTCCTGAGCATGTAAAATCCAAGTATGGGCAGCGCAGTACCTCACGCCTATAATCTCAGCACTTTGGAAGGCCGGGCGGGCGGATCGCTTGAGCCGAGGAATTAAAGACCAGCCTGGGCAACATAGTGAAGCCCCATCTCTACAAGAAAACACAAAATTTAGCCGAGAGTGATGGCGCTCCACGTGTAGTCCCAGCTACTTGGGAGGCTGAGGTAGGAGGATCACCTGAGACCAAAAGGTTTCAGTAAGCGAGCAAGACCATGTCCAAAAGAAAGGGAGAGAAAGAAAGAAAAGAGGAAGGAAGGAAGGAAGGAAGGAAAGAAGGAAGGAAGGAAGGAAGGAAGGAGGGAGGGAAGGAGAGAGAGAAAGAAAGAAAGAAAAGAAAAGAAAAAAGAAAGAAAAGATTTTTTTTTTCCTTTTTGGAAAGCTTGGATGACCACAGAGGGGTGAGATTCCTTTTTTTTTTTTTTTTCCCAGACATGTTAAGTTTGGGATATTTATTATATATCTATTAAAGACACAGAGTTGGATATAGGACTTGGAGCTCAAGAGAGGGTGGGTTTACAGAAATAGGTTTCTGAGTCTTTGTTTAGATGGTCTTGAAAACCACAGGACTGGATGAAACTGCTCCATCACGGTTCAGGCATTAGATTCTCATGAGAAGCATGCAACCTAGACCCCTTGCATGCACAGCTTACAATAGGGTTCATGCTCCCAAAAGAATCTAATGTCATTCTGATCTGATCAGATGCTGGGCTCAGCCATAATGCCAGCTAGCTAGCTGCTCACCTCCTGCTGTGCCATCAAGTTCCTAATAGGCCACGGAAGGGTTCTGGTCCTTGGCCGGGTGGTGGGGGACCCATGGTTTGAAGTGTAATTTTTGCAGACAGCTTAACTTGTCCAAGGTAACACAGCTCTGGGAAGGGGTGAGCTGGGCTAGACCCCAGCTCTTTGCATGGGCTGTGCTGCCTCCCTGACACAGCTGACTTCTATAGGGTGAATGTACCCTCGTGTGTGTGCATTCCCGCCAAAGGGTGAGTGTGAGGCTGGGGCTGGTTGCAGTTTTCCAGCCGGCAGGGAAAGGCGCACCATGGGGAGGACTGAGGCCTGGAGCGAGGCAATGGTGACCGGCTGCGTCTTCTTGTCCTCTCGGTTTCCTGGAGGCAGGATCTCCACGCGATGCACCTCCTCTTTGGTTTTCTCCCCTAAGCAAATCGTATGAAGCAACAGCCTGCAGCCCTGCTTCCCCTCCGGCTGGGGTCTGAAGGTCCAAGTCCGCCTCTCCTGACTGAGCTCGCAGCCCCAGAGCACCGTCTTCACTGCCTTTTCCTCCGTGCTGCTGGTGCTGCTGAGATTCATGGCTCGGGGCGGAGGAGCGGGATGGCCGCGCAGCTGCAAGGAGGACGCCCGCGTGAGGCCTTGCGCCCCGACCCTCGGCGTCGCTGCTCCGCGCGGGACCCGTCACGCCATCGGTACTACCGGAGCACAGCGCAACCTCATCCCCGCTGGCCCAGAGGAGTGAGATTCTAAAAGCCGCGGTAAAGCTTCCCAGGGCCCAGCCTCCCCATCACAATTCACAGGACAGGTCTGGAGTGAGTGAGGACGACTACGTCCATAAAAAGAAAGGGAAGGGAAAGACAAGACAATATTGACCATGAATCAAGTGTGATCGTAGCACAAAGAAGCAGGAAACTGTTCCCCAGAGCAGGCACCAGTTCAGAGAAGAGGTCCAATGCTATGAAAGCCCTGCCCCATCTGGCTCCCGCCGTGCTCCTGCGCGGTGTACTAGGGCCTCCTGGCACCTTTTTATCATCAGCCCGGGGCGCAATGCCAGACCAGTTAGTAGAGGCAGAAGTCAGGCAGGCAGGTGTCGTCCAGTGTGTTCCAGGCCAGCTGAGTGTGCAACCAGCGCCCAGTTCAGACAGCGCCCCAGGTCGAGGCTGGCCTGCGTAGGGGCCGCGCTCTGGCTGGACGTCACGCTCAGCGCGCAGGGCACCTGAGGACCGTGCATCGCTGACCTAGTTGTCAGCGCAGCGAGGAGCAGGCACTGTGGAGGCGGAAACGCTGCGCGCAACTCAAGCACTGCCAGGCTGCTGAAGAGGCCTTCCGGGGCACAGAGGCCGCAGCTGCGCGGTGCGGAGGGCTGTCAGCGAGCATGGATCAGGGAGCGTTTCCCGCGAGAAAGCAGAGCCTGCACCAGCCGAGGGCTCCGCTGGTCCGAGGACTGTTGCCTATTCCCCAGCGGCCCCCGACCTCTTCTCTGAACTGATCCCTGCTCTGGGGAACAGTGTCCTGCTTCTTTGTGCCATGATCTCGCTTGACTCATGGGCCAATATTGTCTTGTCTTTTATTTCCTTTTATGGACATAGTCCTTGCTTATTCCAGACTTGTCCTATGAATTATATGAGGAGGTTGGGCCCTGGGAAGCTTTCCCTTGGTTTTTAGAATCTCAGCCCCCTAGCTGCCTGCCCTGGGAGGGTGGAGATATAGTCAGAAGACAGAAACCACTCCCACCACTCCAGCCTCCTGTATAAGCTACAAAATGAAAATGTGGGCCAGGTGAGGTGGCCCAGGCCCGTAATCCCAGCTCTTTGCGGGGCCGAGGCAGGTGGATCACCCGAGGTCAGGAGTTCGAGATCAGCCTGTTCCCCCCACCACCACCAAAAAAGGAAAAAGAAAACGTAGAGCCCTTCTAAATGCAGCCCCTCTGTGACTATGCAAGCCCCTGGCCCCAGGAAGCCAGGACTGCCCTACTCCTCTACTGCACAAGGCTCATTAAACTTTACACTTCAGAAATCTCGGAGTTACAGTACTTACTAGGAAAGAGCCACTCCCTGCTTCTCTATTTGCATAATAAACGAGGAGGCTGCCAGACCCATCTAACCACTCCACGTGTACCCGTGCACCCACGTGTGGCCCTTATCAGATGCAGGAGGTGAGCTAAGTTGCCAATTGCTCAGCTTCTTTCTACACCTGGAGAAGGGAGTGGCTAGGACAGGGTCTTCAGGGAACATGCTGCCTCATTCTTAACTGCTTCTCTCAGTTCCCCCCACCACCTCCCCCACTGACTCGGTTATCTATTCAGTATCTAAGAGAGTAGTTCAGATAAGGAAGTCTCCTGAAGGAGGCTAAAGTTCTGGTACTGGGTTTAGGGTGGACCTAAAGAGCTGTTTTTCAACTCTCTGACTGCTGTTTGTTTTTTCTTTCTTTTTTCTTTTTTTTTGCGACAGAGTCTGGCTGTCTTGCCCAGACTTGAGTGCAGTGGCGCAATCTCAGCTCACTGTAACCTCCGCCTTCTGGGTTCAAATGATTCTCCTGGCTCAGCCTCCAATGTACCTGGGATTACAGGTGTGCACCACTATGCCTGGCTAATTTTTGTGTTTTTAGTAGAGGCGTGGTTTCTCCAAGTTGGCCAGCCTGGTCTCGAACTCCTGGCCTCAAGTGATACACCCGCCTTGGCCTCCCAAAGTGCTGAGATTACAGGTGTGAGCCACCACACCCGACCTCTGAATTCTATTTCATTGCTGTTAAATGATACCTCCCCACTAACCAGAAAAGAGACTCAGGACAGACTGATCTACAATTAGAAAGAACTTCCAAGCTGAAATGGTCCAAACTGTTAGACAAGCAGGGACAGCAGAGGGCGCCAATGTTGTGCAAAGGCACTCGGGGAGGAGGCACCACAAGCACATTTTCCCTCACGTTCTGCAAATCTATTCAGAACGACCTCCCCCCCAACCTCACACATATTCCCCACCTCACAGGCACATCAGACGTCAGAGTTAGGACTCCAGGCTCAGATTCTCTGACTGATCAACAAGGGACCTTCACCAGGCCCCACCGCACCCCTCAACTATTTTCATGAACTTAGGGCAGCTCCCCTCAGTGGGGAGGCGGTGAGAGGAGCTGAGACTCCCAGTTTCCCTGCCCATCCGGTTGCCCTGTCCAACCAGCAGGGCGGGAAGGCGTTCGCTGCAGTGTTCTTTAGAAAGGAGAGGGAGCTGACGTTGCAGCCTGGGTGTATTATGGAGCCACAAAATGAAAGGTGTAAAGGCTGCCCAGTAACATGGACTCATGTTTACACTGAAATGTAGATGTTAAAAAGCAGGACCCAGCTGGGCGCGGTGGCTCACGCCTGTAATCCTAGCACTTTGGGAGGCCGAAGTGGGTGGATCACCTGAGGTCAGGAGTTCAAGACCAGCCTGGACATCATGGTGAAAACCCATCTTTATAAAAAAAAAAAAAAAAAGCAGGGCCCTCCATTGTTCACTATGTCAATAGCATGCTTGCACGTAGATAAAGACCACAGGGGACACAGAAAAATTAAACACGGTTTGAGGTGGGGTGGTAATTTAAAAAAATGTTTTTTCTTAAAAATGCATCACAATTGTAAAATGATTGCCTCTGGGAGGTAAGGTTATGAATAATATTTCTTTTTCTCCTTTCCAAATGTTCTATGATGAGCAAGTGTTATTTGAGTAATCAGGAAAAAGAAGTTCACACACACACACACACACACACACACACACACCCTGAGAGAGCTTGTTTTCTTCCTTCCTTCCTTTCTGCCTGCCTTCCTTCCTTTTTTCTCTTTTTGAGATGGAGTCTTGCTCCGTCACCGAGGCTGGAGTGCAGTGGCATGATTTTGGTTCACTGCAACTTCTGCCTCCTGGGTTTAAGCGACTCTCCTGCCTCAGCCTCCTGAGTATCTGGGATTACAGGCATGCACCATCACACCTGTCTAATTTTTCTATTTTTAGTAGAGATGGGGTTTCACCATGTTAGTTAGGCTGGTCTCAAACCCCTGACCTCAGGTGATCCACCCACCTCCACCTCTCAAAGTGCTGGGATTACAGGCCTGAGCCACCAGACCTGCTAGCCTTTCTTCCTTCCTTTCCTCCTTCCTTCCTTCTTCTTTCCTTCCTTTCTTCCTTTCTTCCCTTTCTTTTCTTTCCTTCCTTCCTTCCTTCTTTCCTTCCTTCCTTCTTTGCTTTCTTGCTTCTTTTGGGAGGACAGGGTCTCACACTGCCAGACTGTTGCCCAGGCTGGAGTACAGTGGCATGTTCATAGCCCACTGCAGCCTCCATCTCCATCTCCCAGACTCCAGGGATTCTCCTACCTCAGCTTCCTAAGTAGCTGGGACTGCAGATGTGCACAACCATACTCCCCTCATTTTTTATTTTTTGTGGAGACAGAGTCTTGCTATGTTGCCCAGGCTGTTTTCAAACACCTGGGCTCAAGTGACCCTCCTGCCTCAGCCTCTCAAACGGCTGGGATTACAGGTGTGAGCCACTGTGCCTGGCCAAGCCTTGTTTCTTTTATTTTTTGAGACAGAGTTTCGCTCTTGTTACCCAGGCTGGAGTGCAATGGCGCGATCTTGGCTCACTGCAACCTCCGCCTCCTGGGTTCAAGCAATTCTCCTGCCTCACCCTCCCGAGTAGCTGGGACTACAGGCGTGCGCCACCATGCCCAGCTAATTTTTGTATTTTTAGTAGAGACGGGGTTTCACCATGTTGACCAGGATGGTCTCAATCTCTTGACCTCATGATCCACCCGCCTCGGCCTCCCAAAGTGCTGGGATTACAAGCGTGAGCCACCGCGCCCGGCCAAGCCTTGTTTCTTTTTCTTCTCTCTGTCTCTTTCTCTCTCTCTCTTTGAGACAGGATCTCACTATGTTGCCCAGGCTGAAGTGCACTGGTGCAGTCTTGGCTCACTGCAGCCTCAACCTCCTGGGCTCAAGTGATCCTCCAGCCTCAGCCCGCCCCCCAAGTAGCTGGGACTATAGGCGTGTGCCACCACATCCAGCTCATTTTTGTATTTTTTGTAGGAACCAGGTTTCGCCAAGTTGCGCAGGCTGGCCTCGAACTTCTGGGCTCAAGCAACCTGCCAGGCTAGGCTTCTCAAAGTGCTGGGATTACAGGTGTGAGCCACCGCCAAGCCACCGCCAAGCCACCCCCAAGCCTGTTTTCTTAATGTTGTCACCATGTTAATTAAGGAAGGAGCATTGCCTCCCTGACCAAAGTTGCTTGTGTGGCTTTGTTTTTCTCCCCACCCAATTCCCCCTCCTCACCCTATTTAGGGGGTCCCTCCATCACAAAACCCAAACGTAAATGAACATACTTGGAAAGTCCAACGTCGCTCCGATAACAGCATCCTGCTGGTGCGATCCTGAGCTTTTGTGGCCGACATGTTGAGAGGGGAGGGGACAACCACAGGGGACTATTCCTGAGTTTTCTGCAGGGGAGGGACAGAACATATGTCACCTCTATCACTGGGTAGTTTCACACATATTACTGCTATTGTTATTTCAAAATGTGCAGAGCCAGAAGTTTCTGCCAACTCCTCTACCAAAAAGGCTTCTGTCCTTCCCCAGTGACAGTCTCCAGCTCTCTCTGCCGGTCCCCCACCACTCCCCCAGATTCTCAGCACAGTCCAGAGAAATAGGGCAGGCACAGAGAGTGGGAAGAGGGAGCGCAGCCTCCACAGGTGCTGGCAGGAAAGAAGTTTTTGGTCTTCGCAGGAATACGGCGGAGATCCAGGCTGGGGAGAGGTGGAGCACAGGCTGTTGACTAACGCTTCTTTTGTGTGGATTTAATCTTACTCTCGGGGGACACAAAAGCTGGAATCTCTGCAAACTTTTCCCAGAATCATCTGCAAGTCAGCAGAGAATCTGCGGGTGAGGAAAGTGAGGGCAGATGGAGGCTGGGGCTCCCAGTGGGAGGGAAGAAGTGTGTGGGGTTGGGAGGAGGTGAGATGGCATAGAAAGAACACTGGGAAGAGGGGCAGGAGACCAAGGTTCTAATCCCACCTCTACTCCTCTCTCCTTGCTGTGCAATTTGGGCAAGACACTGCCCTCTCTGAGTCTCAGTTTCCTCTTCTGTAACTCAAAGAAGTAACGGAGGATCCTTACCCGCTCTGCGGTCAAGTGACTCTCTCTGAGAATGTTTCCTGGTCTATGAAATTAGGATATTGATACCTATCCCCCCGAAAGGATAGATCAGTCCAACCTTCGAATCCTTGCAGACAAGTTCCGGCCTCCAGCCTCAACTCCATGCCTTTTCTCATTCTGTTTCCTTCACCTGCATCTCCCTTCCCTTTTTAAGTTAAGCTCTACTTTTCTTTGAAGACTCAGCGTGGGTCTGATCCCTTGAGGAAGGCTTCCCCAGTCTCTTCCCCACAGGCTGGCTTAGGCGTGCTGCTCCTCTGGGCTCCTGTGCTGCTCTGGGCATAAAGCCACTGCAGCCTTAACAACTAAGAATTACAGCTGAGGGCCGGGCGTGGTGGCTCACACCTGTAATCCCAGCACTTTGGGAGGCCAAGGCGGGTGGATTACAAGGTCAGGGGTTCAAGACCAGCCTGATCAATATGGTGAAACCTCGTCTCTATTTATTTATTAAAAAAAGAAAAAACAAAGAATTACAGCTGAGGTTTATTGAGCACTCAGTAAGTGTCCAGACAGGCCCTTTACCCTGCATTATCTTGTGGAATTCTAACTATGCTCATATGAAGGTACGCTGGTTTTCTTTTCTTTTCTTTTCTTTTTTTTTGACACAGAGTCTTGCTCTGTTGCCCAGGCTGGAGTGCACTGGCGCAATCTCAGCTCACTGTAACTTCAGGCTTCCGGGTTCAAATGATTCTCTCGCCTCAGCCTCCGGCATACCTGGGATTATAGGTGTGCACCACCATGCCTGGCTAATTTTTGTGTTTTTAGTTGAGGTGGGGTTTCTCCATGTTAGCCAGGCTGGTCTCGAACTCCTGACCTCAAGTGATCTGCCTGCCTCAGCCTCCCAAAGTGCTGGCATTACAGGCATAAGCCACCATGCCCAGAGCTGCTGTTTTTTTTCCTTATGGTCGAAGGCTGGTGATTTTCCTGATCAGGATACTGATCATGATGGGGGTGGAAGCTGAGTGTCAGGACTGGGGTGTAGACCCCAGGGGGCAGTGTGGCTCCTACTCCTATTCTGATCCTCTGCCTTATCCTCTCTCTGCCAGCCCGCTACACTGAGCATAAGGTAGGATCGGTGTCTGTTTAGGGCTATGTATTTGATCTTCACCTGAGCTGTGAACCCAGGGGTTCAGGAGCTCAGTTCCCTGTATGCCTCCACCCCATGCCTCTCACAGTCCCAGCAGAGGATGCATCTGAGCCCCATGTTCCCAGGTCCACACAGTCGGGGCTCCCCTCCTTGCCCTTGGGAGTCCAGGAAGAGCCTGGGCGTGCGAGGGCCCCTCCCCAGTGCTAACTCAATGTCCCATCCCACCCAAGGCTGCCTCCACACCCGCCTTGGGTCAGATTTAATCCTCTGTTTAGAGGTCATGGTCACATGTGCCAACGTGCCAAGCCATGGACCAAGCCTCCTCAGACTTTAGGTCACTGAAGTCTCACAACAACCTTTGAGAGAGACCCGGGGATGATTTCCATTTCACAGATGAGGAAAACAGAGGCGCAGCTGCCATCACAGAGCAAGTGGATGGAGCCAGAAGTGACTCCAGGGTTGTATGTCTCAAAGCCCCTTAGCTTTCCCATGGGCTCCCTTCTGTTCCTGACAGGCCGTGCGTGCAAACATCCCCAGAGGACAAGGAGTGTGATTCATCTTTGCATCCGCCATGGGCCACCAGCTACACCCAGGCACTGAGAGGCTGGTTGTGAAAATCTGGGCTGGGCAGGCCCCTGGTTCACAGCAGACTCAGAATAACTGTTTATTGGTGGAGGTCAGCAGGGCAGCGATTACCATCTCCAGTTTATAGATGAGGAAGTTGCAATCAGCGGGGTGCAGGAAAGTTGCCCAAGGTCATCCGTGAGTCAGGGGAAAAGCAAAGACTTGAACTCAGAACACTGGGAGGCTCTGCCGAGTCAGAGGGAGGAGGCTGGGGCTGCTGGGCTGGGCTCTCCCACTGAGGTGGCCTGGGCTGGCAGGTTTATGGGCCCTGTAAGTCACTGGGACATGTCAGCACCCATTCCAGCTCTAACGACCCTAAGTCAGGCCTTGTCCCTACAGGTAAGCTGAGCCCCAGTTAGCCTAGACAGTGACATGTGACTGGCCAGGGGTCAGTGACACAGAGGCCAGGCTAGGGGTCAGGGCTGGGAGATAAGGTTGAGAATGTTAAGACCAGGAATGAGGAGGGAGGCCATTCACCCTGTTGGAGTTAGACATCGCAGACAGAGCAGGACCCCTCCGGCCACCCATCGCCAGTGTGCAGCCTCTGTGGTGTCCATAGTTAAGATGCATAGATGAGAGAGTGCACAGCTTTACCCCTCCCCCAACCCCGTTCCTCAGAGAGGATGCCCCACCAGGGACTGGTTCTCCTCGCCCATCTTTTTGGTCCCAAAATGCATCCAGGGCCCGCCTGTCTCCTGGGGGGCCCCAATGCAATGAACTTGAACATCGGTCATTGATCAATAGTCCCTTAACCCTACCAAAGGTTTCTGAGCCTCTCCCCTGCTCCTCAGGGGGCTGGCCTGAGGTCACGGGACTCCCTGGGATCATCTTTATTCCCAGGAACAGGCTTCCTCAGTCCTGAAAGGGACATTTTTATAGCCCTGTGAACACAAATGCACTCCCCAGAATAGGCTCTGGGTGTGGAATCCCTCCTGTGGCTGTCATGGTCTCAGGCTGGCTGGTGATGAAATTCTACAATGGTGTTGACAATAGGGCCCTAAGCCTCGCATGAACACCCCCTTCCCTCCCACCTGCCTCTCTGTGGGATCAAAGCTGTTCCGTGAGGCTGTGTGATCCTGGGCCAGGAGCAGGGAATCAGCCTCTACTCTAAGCAAGGAGGAAGCCTCTTTGCCTGAATCCTTCTGAGGAAGGCAATCCTCCTTCAGAGGTCCCTAGCCCAGGTTCAAAGGTCGGTAGGGGCTGAGAGGTTGGCAGTGGATAGGGAAGTGGCTAGACCATAAAACCAGAGCTCCCTGTTGATGGGTTGATGGAGGGGGTCCAGGTCCACTGCCTGGTTCCCTGTCCCTCTCCTGCACCCCAGCCTGAGCTTCCCAAACTTCCACAGAAGCCCCCACCCCATGTGGGACACAGAGGACCTGCAGTAGCAGGGGGCTACAGCTAAGAGGGGAGACAAGAGGCAGCTTGGGGGAGCAAGGGGGACCCCACTTCCTCAAATGTTGGAACCATCCTTAAGAAAACTTTCTCTGGACTCCTCTGGAGATCTTGGCAGATGGAAGAACTGGGGGTCCATTCAGACCCCAGTCTCTTCTCTTCCCATCTCATCTCTCCACCTGGGGGGCCTCAAATAACCTAGCTCCTCCCCTTTGACCCCAGCTTTTCCCTCACCAAATCCTCTTGCAATCCATTTCTTAATTCTGCCCCCTCAACTCTCCCTCCCTCCCCCAGGCTCTAGTCGTCACGCAAACACCAATAAGGGCAGTTTAGAGACAGCTTTGCTCTGTGTTAGAAGAAAGGTCTTTGGTCTGCCTAGAAATTAAGTTTGGAGCAGCCTGGGAGGGAATGGAAGAAGAGTGAGACCCAGAGAATCAATGACCACTGCCTGGGAGAGGCAAGAGAGCCCTTCTGCCGCCACTGATTCCACAAAGGGCATCACACGCCCCTCAGCATCTCATCTCTTCCAGACCCTGTCCACCCCACCCCCACCCCAAGGCCATTCCAAGGTCCCATTCAAGACCACTGCGCAGGGGTGGCGCCAAATGACCGAAGTCATCATCGGGGCACTCACCCTTGTGTGGGTCAAGCACTTTGCGGTGTCGCGTCCCTGTTCCAAAACCAGAGACCAGGAGTAGAATGGAGGAGGGGCGGGGCGCCGCTTCTGAGTGGACAGGACAAGGAGTGGGTGAGGGGGCCTCGCGCACAGGGTAAGAGGTGGCCGGGCGGGGCGGAGGACCGGGGAGAGCAGAGGATTTCAGCTGAGGGACAGGGGAAAGGTGGGGAGGGGAGGGGAGGCCCCGCCAAGGGGAGGAGCCGCCTCCAGCGTCCCGCTGGCGGGACTCCCTCCCGTCGCGGCTCCGCTATAAAACCCCGGCCGGCAGGATCGCTGCACCCGCTGCTGCCTTCTCCATGCGCGACCCCCGGCCCGGAGGCATCTTTGCTGTCGCGCAAGATGCGGATCCTGCTGGCGCTCCTGGCCCTCTCCTCCGCGCGGCCCTCGGCCGGTGCAGGTGAGCTCCCGGGCTCCGGCCGCAGGTGCCCCTCGGCGCCCCCCTCTCCCACCCCAGCAGAGGCTCCCTGAGGGCGGCCGGTGCGCGGCAGCGCGTGGGTCCCGAGTTGGGTGTGCGCCGGAGGCCGCGAGGGTGCGGGAGGACCCGGCAGCGCGCGAGCTTATGTGTGCACACGCGTGTCCGCGGCGGCTGGGAGAGTGTGTGCACGGGTGTGAGCGGTGAAGGTGTGTGCATGTGGCCCGGTGTCCCAGGGCGAGACGAGTTGGGAGTCCCTGATAAGGATGCTTCTCAGGCCGGGCGCAGTGGCTCACGCCTGTAATCCCAGCACTTTGGGAGGCCGAGGCCGGAGTATCAGCTGAGCGCGGGAGTTCGAGACCAGCCTGACCAACATGGAGAAACCCCATCTCTACCAAAAATGCAAACATTAGCCTGGAATGGTGGCGCATGCCTGTAGTCCCAGCTACTAGCGAGGCTGAGGCAGGAAAATCTCCTGAACCCGGGAGGTGGAGGTTGCACTAAGCCGAGATCGCGCCACTGCACTCCAGCCTGGTGCTCCGTCTCAAAAAAAAAAAAAAAAAAAAAAAAAAAGTTGTTTCTCCGAGGAGCCTCAACGCACGCCTTTTTTTCTCACCTAGTCTCCTCCGTCTGTCCGTGGGTTTCCGTCTGTCCTTCTGGGGCTCAGCGCTGGGTGACTGCCCCGCGGCCAGAGCAGGGGCGACCACTGGGTGTGGCGGGGTCCTGGCAGCAGCTCTTCTTACCCAGGTTCCTTGCCACCGAGGGTCGCAGGCTCCCCTAGCTTCCCCAGCCCTCAGCGCTGAATTGGTAGCCTGGAGGGAGGGACCCGGAGCCCCGAGGCCCCTGCGGAGCCGGTCTTTCCGGACGGGGTGATTTTCGTTTAAAGATTAATGGTGAAGCTAATGGTGAAGCCGAGCTCTTAATTATTCCTCCAGGTGGGAAGTGGCAGGAGAGGCATGTTAATATTTGATAAGGAGCTAAAGGCGCTTCAAGCGGCTGGGCACGGGGATCCGATCCTGGAGGCACCTTCTTCCCAACCCCAGAACCCATCACTGGAGACCCCAGCTGCCAGTTCCCAGCCCAACCACCCTTCGTATGGTTCTTGGCGTCCACGCAGGCGGAAACTTCCTCTTCCAAGTCAGGTGCTGCACCCGCAAAGCCGCGGAGTGAGGGGTGAAGGTGTCCTCAGCACAGAGGAGCCAGCGTGTGCCCTCTGAAGCCTGAGGGACTGGCTGAGCTGTGGTAGAGGGTCGAGGGGCATCTTGCAGTCTCTCCTCCGGGCTCCTGGAGGAAGAAAGAGAAAAGGCAGAATATGAAAACTTTTATTTGTTGGATTGGACATTGGAAACTGACTAAACAGCTAGACAGTAGAAAGTGAAATGTGCCTGGCATGGTGGCTCAGCCTGTAATCCCAGCACTTTGAGAGCCTGAGGCAGGTGGATCACGAGGTCAGGAGTTCAAGACCAGCCTGGCCAAGATGGTGAAACCCTGTCTTTACTAAAAATACAAAAATTAACTGGGGGCAGTGGCAGGTGCCTATAATCCCAGCTACTCGGGAGGAGGAGGCAGGAGAGGTTGCAGTGAGCCGAGATCTCGCCCCTGCACTCCAGCCTGGGTGACAGAGCAAGACTCTGTCACAAAAAAAAAAAAAAAAAGAGAGAGAGAGAGAAATGCTTTGCAGTTTGGGTGCTTCGTAGCTGTGTGGTCTTGGGTAAGTCAGTTGCTTTCCCATTTGCAAAACAGGGGTAGTAATTCAGACTTCAGTGATTTTAAGCATTCAAATAAGATGATGGGTTTAAGTGCTTAGTGCAGTGCCTGTGTGGCATGTGGCCAGGGCTCCGTGCACCAAGTTTATGGGGCTCTCCCCAAGCCTGGGGCCAGTGTCAGGAATATGTCTGAGCTCACCCCTCACACAAGCTGCGATCCCTTCCCGTGCCAGGGCTCTCTGACCGGGACCTGCCTTCCATTCATCCCATGGGGCACTCAAGGTGGAGAGGGACCAGGTTGCACATGGAGACCCCCAGAGCATCTCTGTCCATTGAGGGAGGGGGACGGGAGAGGATATTTAGTCCCCTTCACAGCCCCAGATCCCCCCTGGCTGGGAGCTGCTGAGACTTTGCCCAGGACACACTTGGGTTGTGCTGAGCTGTTTTTCAGGATTATCTCCTGTCCCTCAGAGGGGGAGGTGGGGTGAGCAAGGTCCATTAGAGAGGCTTCTTCAGCCATCTTGAAACAAGGGGGAGGGGTAAGGGGTCAGTCAGGGTGGGGGGCAGTAGCTGGGTGACAGGCAGTGCTGGCTGATGGGCTATGGGCTTTTGGTTTCTCACCTTTGGTCAGGGTGGATGGACAAGGTAGGATGTGGCACTGGGCACTGAGACCCATGGGTAAGTAGCCCCTCTCCTTCCCAGGCCCTCTTGGGAGTGGCTGGGGACAGTGGGCTGGTACTTATCTGCAAGGGTGGCGCTCTCGTTCAACGAGGACAGGAACCTGAGTGGTGGGTGCTCTTGCCACCAGCACCCCACCCTCACTCCACGGACATGGACTTGACCCCTGGCCTTGGCCTCTCCACCATCATGTTTTCCTGGCTGCTGCTTCCTGAAGAAGGTAGTTACAAGCGCGGTCAGCCAAGCAGGTCAAAAGTCTCTATGATTAAGACAGTGGATCAGAGGTCACCACTACAAACCTAGGAGCTGCAGCCAGAGCCAGGGAAGAGCAAATTCCTAAGAAAAGCTAAGCCTGGACCAGAGAGGCCCCAGGGAGGCTGTGAGGAGGGTTGCAGGGGCTCCATCCTTCAGAGCTGGCTCTTGTGGATGCTGGCTTAAGGGAGGCTTCTGGAATATCTGACCCTGGGGCCTCTCCAGTCAGAGGAGAGGCCAGCTCAACCTTCAAAACCCCTTCTGCCTTCAGGACCTCTGCAGGCCAGGACATGGGAGGATTATGTCAAGGAACTGTCGTGGTGCAAATGCTCTCTGATTTATTATCTCCTCAGTCACCAGCACTGGGACTTTGGTGGCGCACCTGTCAGAGGCATTGGAACCAGAGCAATTCCGATTTGCTGGGCTGCATTCTCAGACAGTTCTAGCCTCTAAGTGTTTAGGGTTAAGGGAACAAATTAATCATGTTTCCTAAACAGACCCAGGCTTGGGAAGGTCCAGATACCCCGATATCTGGAGAGCAAAAGCATTCCTAATTTTGATTTCAAAATAATAATATCGATTCTTGCATAATAATTAAGAAAATTAACCCTTTATCACCAACCCTAGTAGAGAGCACATCTCCCCACATAGACAAGCATTGTACCTCGGGCTGACGCGTTCCTCCTCTGACTTTAGGGAAAGTCCTACTCTGTCTATAGGTAGCTGTCCTTTCACCACTGTACTTCTTAATAAACTTGCTTTTGCTTTGCACTGCGGACTCGCTCTGAATTGTTTCTTGTGTGAGAGCCCAGAACCCTCTCTTGGGGTCTGGATCGGGACCGCTTTCCTATAACATGCCTCTGTCAGAGGGAGATTGTGGGGCTCAGAATTTCGGCTAACTCTCCTGTGGAGACTGAGCAAAGGCAGAGTGGGAGCTGGAGGCTTCGGAGCTCCGCCCCACTGTGGGAGGGGCTTGGGTGGTGAGAGGCCACTGCCCTCTGCAGATTCACCCTCTTGGGAGTGGCCCAGGTACAGCGACTCCCAGGGTCAGCGGAGCCCGGACTGGGGCTGGGGATGGGACTCCAGGGGGAAGACACTGCAGCTCTGAAAAAGGCAATGCCAGCAGGGCAGGAGAGGTGGTGATCAGGACTGGGAAACTCCACACCCCAAAGTGGCTCCTCTCGGCCAGTTACTTCTCCCGGGGATGCTCCATCATCGCTCCCTCCCCATCCTGTCCCCATTCCAGGGACTCCACCCCTGGCTCAGGCTACAAGGAGATGGGATTGTGGGGGCAGCCCAGGCAAGAAGGGAGAGGGCGGATGAGCTCAGAGGCCTCAGCTTTGGCTGAGTGGGAACCGTGCTTTTCTTAGGAATTTCCTCATCCTGAGTTCTTTCCAAGTCACTTCATTTCTCTCCTCTCTCGGCCCCTCCTTGGCTTTGGCCATCTGCTCCCGATAGGAGGCCCACCAGAGGGAGGGAGGCGGGTGGGGAGGGGGAGGGGAAGGAGTTGTTGATGGGATTTGACTAAGTGCCACGCTGCCTGAAACTCATTTAATCCTCCCCACGGCCCCAAGAGGCGTGTACGTTTATCCCATGTTACAGATGATACAACTGAGGCTCAGAGAGATTAAGAGACTTGCCCCCAAACCCATCTACGCCTGCTGAGCGGCTCAGCCAGAATTCTAGCTCTGGATGAGATGCCGTGTTCACCCTGCTGGTGTAGCCTTTAAAAAAAATTAATAGGCTTTATTTTTAGAGCAATTTTAGGCTCACATAAAAATTCAGTAGGAAGTACAGAGGGTTCCCATAGGCCCCTTATGCCCTGCACACATTTTCCCCTTTTACTAACATCTTGCATCCATGTGGGACATTTGGGGTACAGCTTTTTTTTAGATACTGGGTTCTACTGCCCTGAGGCAGAACCCTCAGCCTGACCCCAAAGCCCAGTACTGTGTGGTTGTGGGGCAGGGGAGAAAGCCTAGCTACTTTCCTCTTTGCAGGAGCTGTGAGAGGCTAGCCAAGAAGGGATCTTGGTAACACATGGGGAGGCCTTCTGGGGGAGGGACCGCCTAATCTCCTCCCCCATCTTGTATCTGGATGGATCTGGGAAGGCTGCCGGCTGAACCTGATGCTAT